CGTGTGGGAAGCAGAGAGAGAGGGGGGGAGCGAGAGAGCAGGGAGGGAGAAAAGTGAGTGAGTGAGAGAGAGAGATGGTGAGATTGAGAGGCAGGAGGAAGACGAGGGGGTGAGGGGGAAACAAAAAGGGAAAATGATCAAAACATAGGCTTTGGTGCTGGGGCCCCCGGATATGCCCCAGACCAGCAGGGAGCAGTGTTATGGACTTCAAAGCTAGAAGAGCAGACCACCGGTGGCATTGCTCCGTGCGAGCACGTGGATTCGCTGCGCCGACAAGGATTGAGATTGGACACCCCCCCTCCGCCAGCGCCTCCAGTGACAGGGGTTTGCGCTCCCGAAGCCCCCCACCGCTCTGTAAAATTGAGACCCCACAATCCCATATCCGATCATGTGCAGGGATGAGCGCCGAGGGAGCGGGCACTGTCGGAGGGTCAGTGCCGAGGGAGCGGGCGCCGTCGGAGGGTCAGTGCCGAGGGAGCGGGCGCCATCGGAGGGTCAGCGCTGAGGGGGAGCGGGCGCTGTCGGAGGATCGACGCCAGGGGAGCAGGCACCGTCAGCGGGTGAGGGAGCAGGTGCCGTCGGAGGGTCAGCGCCGAGGGGGAGCGGGCGCTGTCGGAGGGTCAGTGCAGAGGGAGCAGGTGCCATCGGAGGGTCAGCGCGGGGGAGAGTGGGCGCCGTCGGAGGGTCAGCGCCGAGGGGAGGCGGGCGCTGTCAGAGGGTCAGCGCCGAGGGGGAGCGGGCGCTGTCGGAGGGTCAGCGCCGAGGGGGAGCGGGCGCTGTCGGAGGGTGAGGGAGCGGGCGCTGTCGGAGGGTCAGCGCCGAGGGAGCGGGCGCCATCGGAGGATCGACGCCGGGGGAGCAGGCACCGTCAGAGGGTGAGGGAGCAGGTGCCGTCGGAGGGTCAGCGCCGAGGGAGCAGGTGCCGTCGCAGGGTCAGCGCTGTCGGTGGTGGGCTCTGGAAAAACCGCCACAGATGCTGGGATCTTGCTGTGCTCCCCACCTCTACCCCGCTGCCCTGTCCCCTCAACCCCTCACCCCACCCCACCACTCCCAAATCCAGTGCCTGGCATCTCTGTGAGATGCCAATGCCTGCCCTAACTCACCTCCAACAACGTCCCCCTGCTCTGTGAGAGTTTGTAGACAATAGTGGTGGGGATGCAGAGCATGGAGGCTAGAGCAAGGCACCAGCCAAAGGCCTCCCCCCACCAAGGGTAGGTGTAAACCTTGTTGTAAGTCAGGGGCTTGTAGTTAACGAGGTGGAAGAGAAATATTCCCTGAGAACGGCCATGGCGGGAGAGAATGGGAGAGATGGAGAGACAGAGAGAGAGAGAAAACAAGAGAGAGAGAAAGAGTGGGTATGGGGAGAAAAAGGGAGAGAGAGACGGGGTGAGAGAGAGAGGGGGGCAGAGTGAGGGGGTGGGAGAGAGAGGAGGAGAGTGAGGGAGAGGGAGAGAGAGAGAGGTGGGTGAGAGAGAGGGGGAGAGTGAGAGAGAGAGGGAGGGAGAGAGTCGGAGAGGGAGAGAAAGAGAGAGAGGGGAGGTGAGGGAAGAGAGTGTGGGGGGGAGAGACAGAGAGAGAGGTATAGAGAGAGAGCGGGGTTGGGGGGATAGATAGAGAGAGAGAGAGAGGGGTAGGGAGAGAGAGAGAGAGAGTCGGGTGGAGAGAGAGAGAGAGGGTCGAGGGGAGAGAGAGGGAGAGAGAGAGAGAGTTGGG